GAGTTCAAGTCTTCCTGTCCGTTTATTGCTGCGTGGGTTTCTTTCCAAATTTTATTTTAGAAGCGTCGATAGGGAATGTATATTGCATAAAATTCTTCAAGGACTTCCCTAAATCTGCACAAAGCCTTGTAGTACGTATTTCCGAAGACATTGCTTTGTTGGTTTTTTTCTTTTTTAATCTGTCCTCTTTTTGTATTGATATTAGTCTCTGTCATATTTAGTAATACTTAATATACCACGACGTCAAAACATAAATCAAGTGACGTCATGGACGCCCACATACTTCCAGTGACAGGTGGGTTTTTATGCCGTAAACGGTTCCCTTAATCTGAAGTTTCGGGAACTTTGAAAAGTTTTTGATAATAAGTTTTATAGAAAGAATTCTGCGACGTCATCATGAAAGGTCGAGTTCCTCGCTGAATCTTTGTTTATGCCTAAGATATGAAATTAATGCTAGACGGACCCAATCGAAACAGCACTCTAAGAGCAAAGTTTCAGTGCCACTATTAAATATTTAAGCTTCCTTCTTTTAGCTTATTTGTTTGTTTTAAATTTTTCTTGTTCTATTCTTTCTTTCTCTGAAAGTGACAATACCATATCCAAAATGAGAGATTTTGTGCCCGTTCTTCTCACTTTGAGATATGTTCACGCCTTACCTTCGAACAAAACTGTTAAAACCAGACTAGTCGATCAATAACCCGATTGCTAATCTAGTCATGTAGTGGTGCAGTGGTTTATTACACAGACCAATATTTTGTACGTCAGCTAATACGGTATATCAATTTTCTCCATCGAATTTCGGTCAGCTTCATACACTGAAATAGTTCACGTGAAGGCAATCACTGTCGCCGGCTTCGTCCTCTCTTCAGCTGGCACTACTCGTTCACGAAAAGCCTGATGAATAAGAGAAATGATTGGGATGTGATACATTGGCAGTCAGTTAAAACCAAACGGCGAAATTAAGACATAATTTAAACGGGGGGTGGGGGGGAGGTGGGGGCTTCTTTTTATAAAGGTCATTGGAGTAAATATAGATCTAACTGACGCAAATACTGCTATTCATTCTGTTGTATAGCGGATATCTCTTGCAACATTGAACTTCGTAATATGTAGTTGAAAACCTAATCACTTGACGACCATTACTTTTTAACTTTCTGACGTTACAACCATGTCATAATATATCTGCCACCTTCGCTACACATACTAAACATCCACACAATTACACTGCCTTTAAAATATTTTTTAGAGAAGATTAATGGGTATTCAAACCGATATATCTTGTTACATTAGATTCATCAGAAAGTGCTGCACATAAATATTTGGTTTGTCAAGCCAAAAGTAAGGAATGTTTCCACAGATCAAAACCTAACCAGTATTTCAAAGGGCGGATAACGCTATCCAGCGGATAAGTTTCAACAAAACGTATTGCGCTATCCAACGGATAGAGATTTATCGAGTGGATAGCGTTACCCACCCTCTGGAACAACCAAGTTTTTTTTTTTTGCTTAGGGCTAGCTTAGGGTTAGCACCAAAAGCTGAACGCTTATATCCCCATAGAATAGAGTCAAGTTTTCAAGATCATGAGCATTCCTGTTGTTGTGTAAACCTTGTGGAAACACGCACACTTTACACTTTAAACTTTACACTCCACACTTAGACTAAGTAAAAAGTAAATAAGAGAGAAGTGCCCATTCATTGCGGGACTGAAATTCTGAGGTTTCTGCAATTTTATTTCAGTTCGGTACTTCAAGCCTTTATCATCAAGGTAAAAAAAAAAACATGAATTGGTGTTATCTGAATCAATGGAGAAATAATTAGAAATATCATGTTTATAATTATCCATTTGAAAATCGGTGTTCATGCTTAGTAAATATGTTACAGATATTCCTTCAGACCAGAGATATTTAAAACGGAGACAGAGGTTGATAAAATGAGAATTTACAGATAGCATGAGCGAAAAGTATCATTTAATTTTGACTAGTAAACGGAAGAATAAATCATCGGTGGACCATACCAAAATGATTTCCTTCTCCTGGTCACGGTTGATTTAGCAATAATGAGTTTGCAATATTTGAGTGAATGGCAAAATCCATGCAAAAATCGTTATTGAAGGAATAAGTCAATTTACCATGAATTTCTCGAGAGATTCGTCTTCTTTAGTTTACGGGAATTGAAGAACCCAACGCTCAGAACCATTCATTATTTTCTTATGTTGGATATTTCGTGTAGGTAAATACCTGGCGATTTGTTTGTGTTACAAGAAGATTCCGTTTTCACCTAGTCACGCAAACTCATTCGTGTAACTGGGGGAGCTGTTTACGACAACTGAGTGCTCAAAAGCAAAGACTTAAATATGGGCAAACGAACGAAGATTAAAAAAAAAGGTATAAGAAATAATTTCACGAAAGAAACCATAAGAAAACCTTCTTCAGCCTTACAACACCTCAGTCAAGATTCATTTTTGTTCTGGCGTCACATGCGTGAGTTAAGCGGTCTATTCATGACTAACGACCTTCCGATTCTTTAAAGGTTATATTGCCACTGTTTTTCTGGTCGTTTGAAGACAAAAGATGATATTGTGCGACAGTCACATATTAACTTAAAGTTTCAGTGCTTCAGAGAAAAGCCTTCTGATCAGCCGAATTTGTGTCACCTTCTAACAGCGACTAAACCTTTACTGTCCAAGTACTTACATGAAAAACAAATAGATGAAATTCGTAGTTATCTTTTTCTTGTTTTCTGACGAAAAGCACGTCACCGAAGATTTGAGAAAGTAGGAAACGGCTTGAGGTTCACAATATCACCTCATCTGTGTCATATCAGCTAACGTTTGTATGATTTGTTTGTATTTATTGACTCAGAGTATTCTAAACAGAGTATTTATTTCAAACTTGAGGACACACTTCTTTTGCTAGAAGATTAACATCGTCTTAAGTAGCAAGGGAAAGTCGAAACAGTGTCATTTTTGTTTTTAAATTCAAGGTAAAAAAAACTTAGACATTTAAAAAGACATAAATATCCTTCTGACGCACATGCGTATTGCAAGACCGATAATGATCCATCTTCAATCCGCCCGTGAATATACATAATGACGTAGTGTATTGTTTGTTTGTTTATTGTTATCGATAACGAAGTACGCTCTTAAAATTACTTGAAAAGCAATTGAGCTACGTTGTAGTATAACGCAAAGCGCTTAAAAACCAAAACTATTGGGTAGTTCCTACAATGGCGGGACTTAACTCACAATACCAAATCACAATAGTTCTTTTAATGACGTAATTGTTGTACATTTTTGCGCGATGAAACACACTGATGCCTCGATGGTCGGGTCTGAAAAAGACTTGAACAAAAGAAAAAAACTGGTTGAGAAGTAAAGCTTAGTTTGCAAGATGAAGAACAGAAAACAGTGCATTCCGTTTAGGCTTTTACAGTTTTTTGATCATGATTTGATTAAGTTATTTTATTGGACAACAAAGGTGTTGGTGCCTACATTAGGTAGTAAACGGGAAAAAAAAACCTCACTTTTATTTTGAATGAACAAATGCAACATTACTGTTCCCGATAGTTTTAGGTGCGCTCAACAATGAAATCATACAGACTATGTAGCAAATTCCTTTGGATGTTAGACTCATTTTGAAAGATCCTTGAAAGACCATTTTTCTGTCGCGTGACTGGATATAGACGAAAAGTAATTTATACCTTTATGAACGACACCGCAGAATTATACATATTCACCCTTGAATAGCGCTTATAACATAATCCCTTAAACACACGGAAAATTTTTTATTTTTGGAGACGGTGTAACAGTCGTGCTTTCACTTGAAAAAGAACAGAGACTAACTAAAAGAGCACAGAGAAATTAAGAGTACAACTTGTTTCCCTAAGAAGCATTTCCTTGGCATCGGTCATTTAATGCACCTTGTACACTAGATTTCAATATCATAACAACCCGAAGCTGAAACATCAATATCACGGCTGTATGGTGTCTGAATTCCACTTGTGAAATGAACTCTCAAAGAAAACTTACACGAAAGCTCGTTTAAACTGGGGTTGGGGAAGTTCATGGAATTTTTTAAAGTAATTTTTAAATTAAATGTTTAACCACCGCTACCTCGGCGAGGGTCAAATTGAGAGAATAAATATTGGCCTATCACGCAGCTGTCGCCATGGAATCTTGAAATTAAAATAAGAGACACAAGTTCGCAAATTGGACGAGGCATTCCAAGAAAGAAACCTTTCAAAACCTTTTACTCCTATAAAATAAACAATTTTTTTTCCACTAAGCATATGGTTTGATTTGCCTGTTTAGCTGGTTAACTATATACTAATTGCTGTAACTCATTGCACTAGCTCCCTAAAGGCTTAGCACGGGGCAATTGTTTCCTCAAAGTAGCACACATTTGATCGACCGAATATTCTTAAAGCTTCATATTACAGTTTTCTCAAGTAACGAATGTTTTCATAAAGATCAAAATAGGTGAATGTAGTTGCAACGTTAACAGTGATTTTCAAAAGCGCCTTTTAGAAAGAAAATTAGCCAGGATAGTTGAATTGACCTGCTGGTGTAGTTTTACGTCAAAAAAATACAAATATATAATATCATTTGTTTCTTTGAACACATTTACTTCTGAAACCGATATAGGTTGATTCCGTGATCTATGAATCAATTAATTCAGGATGTTAGATGACTAAGGTAATGCTAATTTGTACATGCCAACGCATGGCTTCAAAATTACTTCCCTGTATTGAGGGACACCGGCCATTTAAGCCAATTAACTAATGCGTCATACAACAAACAAAAACAAAATATTGCCTTTGTGGGTCTTGTAACTCTCTTTGTGTTTGTTTGAAAATAATAGAGGACCAAAAATAAGTTAAGATATCAGCTTTCAAGGCTGACATTCTATTGTTTTGTCAAGGTAAAATTTTGGCCACTGAGTAGCAGGGCAGAGCCGACAGGATCATTTATAAGGAGGTACCCTTGTCACATCTGGCATTCGCAGCTAGGGTTTTCTACAGTAAGGGATACCTCAGGAGCGGAATAGCTTTGTCTTCCATTGGATTATTTGCCGCTTTGTCAATTGAAGGTATTTTGATGCTGGTTCATTTTTTGGAGTTTCATGTCTGTTTGCTTTCTTGTAAGGTGATTGGTTTGATTGTCTCCTAAACCCTGCTGGTGACAGTACCCCCTTTATCCCTATTTTTATTTCGAATGGTAAGGAGCAGCTTTCAGACAAGGGGGTTTTATGTTGATAAAAGGTCGATCTACAAGGCATCAAAGCATGTTCTTGTTTACGCTGAGTTTTTAATTGCTATCGCTCATAAAAAAATTTTTTGGCAACATCATATCATGGATTGGAAGAAATAAATAAAAAAATGACATTATGGGGGACTATTCACTCTTTGTGGCCACATTCATGAAGATGAAAAGAGACTGAAGTTTTAAGTTCAGACATCAGTAGCGATTTTTGGTTTCCTTAGATTATAAGGTTTTACTTTGGAAACGAGTAGAAATGGATGGAACTTGCTTTCTAGTTTCGTGCTAACGCGGATCAGAAAGTACACAGTTAACTTAGCTCTCTTTGAATATGACAAACTCCTAATACACCAGGTTAACTGAAGTAAATGTTTCTTAAAACAATTCATATGGACAATGTAGCAGTATAATAGTAACATGAAAACGCAGCTACCACCATTTGGTTAAAGTGCTGTTAACGATGCTGATACCATTCATTCATCAATAGGCACAGTAAGAGGCTGTCCAGACGCAAAATGAGGGCAACAAGGTACGTTTTAAAGTTAAAATGAAATTCATGACAAATTCTTGTTTGAAATACCTAGAATTAGAAACTTGTGAGACACACTTACTCTCGTTCTAATACGGAGAAATTTTTGGCAATATTACGGTTTTATTTTATTAAGATTTCACTTGACTAAGATCTGGCCGCGTCAATCTCTAGTCTATGGGCACTTTATGGATCAAAAGAAAAAGTTATTTATTTTAAATATGTGGGCACCTATCTCCTCTCATTCATCATCATGCACAACACTTTATTCTTGACGAATTTCAGTTCTTAAATTGTGCATTACTTAAAGGTAACTTTCTAGCGGAAAAGACAAGTGGCTGATCAGTCCTAAGAAAAAAAAACAAGACATACATTCATCATTACAAAAAAGATCAAGTAGTAACAAGTTGAGAAATACAAAAACAAATTAAAAGAACATGATTGAATATTGGCCTTAAATTATTTGCTATTGCCGTCTTATCTGAGAAACTTTCTGTGTGAAGTGAAATTTCTTTAGTAAATTGTGCGACCCACTAAAGCGAAGGGATCGAACCGTTTACACGCGGGCGAATTCAATATACTCCAACGGACGACGCTCTTTACCTTATGAACACACCGCTGTCCTAGCTTGGCGTTGTCTCTGCTGATTAAAAACTCCCCATTGTAATGTTACTCACTTTCGCCTACGTTCCATTTGTTTTTCAGCTTCCTCGTGGGTGTTTTTCTTATTTTTGGTGCCCTAGAAGTACGTCGCACGTCCTGTTACATGACAGCAACTCCTGAGTCAGATCTTGCAGATACACTTGTTCTATCTGGCTGCAATCGCCTTAACCTAAGAGAACGTTGTATCATGGGAGCTCAATCTGAATATCGCACCTTTGACGGCACATGTAACAACCTTTGTAATATTACCAATGGAGCCGCCGGTGTGCCATTTGTACGTGTTCCGGGCCTAGAACCTCCCACTGCTTTTGCACCAGGCTTCAAACCCCGAGTGGAATCGGTCATCTCTGGCAAACTTCTCCAACCATCAAGGAAAATTAGTACAACTGTCTTCGGCGGCACAGACGATAATGTGAACGGCACTAATCCAAATTTTACCCACGTGACAATGACTTGGGGGCAATTCATAGATCATGATGTTACCCTTACTCCGTTAGTTCCAGGTGTAGAATGTGGGTCGCAGACTGAACCATGTCAACCCATCCTCAATTGCATCAACATCCCTTTAGTTAAGCCACTTGCTAATAATAGTACCCTACAGTGTATACCCCTTAGGAGGGCCTTACAGGATGAAAATGGCGAGCAGGTTAGTTAGAAATGACAACTGACTTTTTGTTTAAGATATGCAAAAAATAAATTTACAATGGTTAGTAACACTGATATCACATTGCAAGAAAAGGATAGGGAAAAAACCCGAGTAAAAAGTTAAAAATTTGAGAGCTGTTTTTCCTTTTCAAAACGAAATTCACATCTGAGGTGAGTTCCCGTTATCGCGTATGAAAGCAAAATGAACAAGAAGAAACATCGCAGGAGAAATAAGGAACCATCGTTCAATTAAAAAACGCACCTCTATGCTAAGCTAACTCCGGCATTTAATTCCTTTTCCTGTGGCAGCAAAACATCATAACTTCTTACGTGGACGCTTCAATGGTGTATGGTTCAAGCCTTGAAGCAGCAGAGGAACTGCGTGACCCAGAAAATCCGAAACTTTTGGCAATCATGGACCCCACAAAATCTGAAACAGAGCAGCGCTGTGCACTCCTTCCGCGAGCGGGGGGCGAAGCTTTCTGTAGATCTCCGAATACGATGGATAAACCTTGTTTCAAGGCTGGTGATGAGAGAGTCAATGAAAACCAGGGTAAGAGACTCAGAAAAAAATCTTTGTATCTGGCAATCACTGTTTTACCACTTTGGTTTTTTCCATTCGGCTTTTATGACCGGTATAGATCTTACTTATTGACCGATGTACGTAATGTAAATAAAATCGTCAAAAACTAATGCTAACGGGTCGTTCCTTTGATTGACAGCTCTCATGGCAATGCACACGCTATGGGTTCGTGAGCACAATCGTATTGCCAGAAAACTGGCGGAAATAAATCCAACATGTGATGATGAGGAAATTTATCAGTTGGCGAGGAAAATTGTGGCCGCTCAAATTCAGCACATCACCTACAACGAATGGCTTACAGTACTCTTCAGTGCCGAAGTTGTGAGTCGTACTATAGCAAAAAACTTACTAAAGTTCTTGTCCGTTTCACAAAAAGCCATAACCATATCACGTAACCAATCAGAACAAAGAAACATAGACGATGAGACCCAACAGCTTTATGGGAAATGTTCGTAAAGATACATAATCCGTAAATCACACTTCTCACTATTCTTGAAAAACCTTTGTTATGATATTCCTTTTCTTCCAGAAAATTGAAATAACTGTCATGTATCTGTGTACCCAGAGAGCGGCAAGGTCTCATCGTTCATTGTAAACGCTTTTTTCAAGTGTCAATGTTTTTGCGATCGAGTGTATAGAACGGTGTCTTAGTGACATGTTGTTCGGATACAACCCTTCGTTTGATTTGTTACCTCTTTGATACTCCTTGGATTCTTGCACTATTTTATTCACAATCCACGAACACTCAGATCTCAGTTATTTCTGTGCATGTGTTGCCCAATAGTCCATTACTTCTGCGGAAATGTTGCATGAAAAGTGAACGCGGAAGGTGTCGTTACATATCAGCTAACTTGTTGATGGTTGTTTTGTTGTGTTTTGTCTTAGCTGGAAAAGGCAAACTTAACATTGGTGCCACCTGGCGAGTTTTTCAAGGGATATGATCCAAGCGTGGATGCAACAATTCAGAACAGCTTTGGTGCAGCAGTCTTGAGAGTCGGCCACACCTTGATTCGATCTTCATTCAACTTGATTGCGAATTCAAAGATCAGGAGAAGCAAGCGGCGCCTTTATCGCGGAAGTATTGCGACGGATTTTTTCACTCCACAGGACTTATTCCTTGGAATAAAATACAACTTCGTAGATGAAATCTTACACGGCCTCACTTTTGACCTAGCTCAGCTAATCGACAAGTACGTATCAATGCAATACATATACGAGTCTTAATAGAGTGACAATTGATAAAATCGGAATTCTAATTCCCTTCAATACAAAGTTCCTAAGTACATTACACGTCTGATGTGTTACATATGTCCTTTCATAGCCCCTTCTCGATATTTTAAAATTCAACGTAAAACAATAGACCTCAGCACGAGACTCTGAAAAATCGAAGATTGCACCACTCCTCTGAAGGGTAAAAATTAGATTTCATACATTTTGTTAGTTATACCAGGGTTGTTATTAATACCTATAGAACGACACATGGAAATATGAACCGTTTCTAAAAAAGTGGCGATTATTTCGAAGGATTTTTGAATGAAAATCTACGAGAGTCTGTTTGATACAAGACTGAGTTGATTACTAACCCAAAGTTCATACAGTTGATTAACTAAACAGCTGTGCCTTTCCGTCATTATTGTTATTTAATGACACATCCTAAAGTGTCACGTCTCTTAAAAATCAGTGAAAGCACGACCTACATATGCATTTCGCCATATCTCACCAAAAATTTAGGAGGTCTAAGAAATGGTAATTAACAAAACATAACGATTTTCTTCTACAGCAACTTTGTTCCTGAAATTAGGGAGGATCTTGTTATTGAAGGACCTATGGACGGTATCAAGGGCGACCTTACTGCAATAAACATTGAGCGAGGCCGGGATCATGGCTTACCGCCCTACGTAAAATTCCGAGAACTTTGTGGAGCGGGGGTAGCGAATTTCTTTCCTGATCTCTTGACCACAACAACCCAAGTAAACATCAAAAAACTCAAACAAGTTTACGCAACTGTGAAAGACATCGATCTTTTCCCTGGCGGCCTAACCGAGTTCCCTGCTGAAGGAAGCGCAATAGGGTTCACCTACACCTGTCTTCTGACCGGGATGTTTAAAATACTTCGCAATGGCGATCGATTTTGGTACGAAAGAAGTAATTCTGTTGGGTTCACATTGCCTCAACTGGATGAGATACGTAAGACATCACTGGCACGAGTGTATTGCGACAACACCGCTTCCATAATCTTCATTCAGCCAAAAGTCTTCCTTCCGCAAACGAACAAATTTGGAGATAATCCGGCAACAGATTGCGACAACCTGCCCATGGTAGACTTGGAAAAATTTAAAAAGGAGCCTGAAGAATCTAATGGTAGGTGCGGTTAATCTGTAGATGATTGAGCGGCAATGTGAGCAGCGACATAACGCCTAGCGCAAAAGGCAAAATCCGTAGGACAAGGTTTCAAACTTAGCCGGGTTTATCTATGTTGAGCTCTTTGATGAGAAGCCAATAGAATACAATTTACTCCTACTGTGCCCATTTTTACAAAGGAATATCCCGACGTACAAGCTTTGCACTTGTCAGGGAAACCTGATGAAATGCTGCGCATGCGTTAACTTCTAAGCATTCTAGTTGTTAATTTCTAAGATGTGTTGCAAAATTTATAATCCCTCCTTGTCAGATAAACCCAGATTGTCTTTCATTCGCTGTTAAAGAAACAGTTCTAAATATGTTATGTTTCCTCTCTCCATCTAGCTGAAGTACCTGCAGAAGTACCTGTCTGACGAGCTAAAGACCTGGCGTGTTCGATTTAAACTCACTGCTGATGAATATCACTGTTCTCTTTTTCATTCATTTATTTATTTAAAGGTGCCTCAAGTAAGCAATTAATAACCAGTTATTAAGTTAATCTATTAACCATCAACTAACTGTAACACTGATGTTATGCATTGTGTAACTGTTTTTACAGAAGGAATTTTGGCGAAAGATCAAGTGAAGAATGTGTGTAGCATGAGTTTTATGTCCGTGTGATATGATGGTTCATTTTTTCATGTTCGGTAGTTAAGTTATGGTAGTCCATGGTCACTTAAATTATTTATCAATTTAGTTGTAGACTTCAGTCGGTTCATGCCTAGTCAGAGGTAGACTGGGCCACTCATTCTAAAATATACATAGTTCGTATTCAACTCCAATGTATTACTAAGACAATGCCATGTAACTTTGCTGTTTAATTTGAGGAAATAAACCTTTCAGTTTGAAGAAATCTGCCTATCTGCTCGTAGTTAAGCAATTTCACCCTAGGGCCTCCGCGGAACGCTAGGTTCTTTGATTTACATGGGGGTGCGGATTCTCCTTTACGTGGTAAGTTCCTCTTTTTGCGTATTTGAGGATGAATTTCTCTTTAGGTATGAAAGTTCCTTTCTAAGATCTTTTGTCAACATAGTATCATGCAACAACTTACACCCCCACACATGATTAGTTGATACACTTCTCGTGAGCAACGTGAGCAACGTCCATGGGGTTCTTTCACCCCTCTCCCCATCCAATGTTGTCAATCGCCAATTCTTCTATGTCATCTTGCAGACCAACATTGAAGAGGCAGAAGGGGCAGAAGGGGCAGAAGGTGCAGAAGGGGCAGAAGGGTGGGGGGGAGGGGAAGGCAGAATACTGTACCAGTCTGCAGTGTTTACAAAAAAAAAAACCATGAAACCAGCCGCAAAAAAGTTTAGGGCGAAAGTATTTGAGATTTAGTTTGCAATTGCGAACAAAAACAATCAAGGTTCCCAACAAGAAAATTGAATCAGATTAAATTGTTTGTGGAACTGACACTAAATCAGCAGCAACTAAGACGCGATTACCGATCGCCACTGTTGTTTAAATTTGTATCAGCTGAATTTGCAGGTAGTTCGTTAATGAAATGACGCTTCCTAATCCACTGAATATTCTCTTACCAGAGGGTCTCAATGGGGTTAACCGTTAGCCGTAAAACGGCCAAAATATTTAGCCGTTAGACGTAAAAATTGACAAATTTTAACCGTTAGTCGTAAAAAAAGTTAACCGTAAAAAATACGTCTGGTGGAAACAATGGAAAGGTGTTAACCGTTAGCCGGAAATTGGCCAAATTTTAACCGATAGCCGTAAAAGCCATCACCCCATCGAGACCCTCTTACCACCATATCTTTTTGAGTAACGACAGAAAGCGAGCACGATATCAATGTGAAAATGTCCTTTCTATGGCTTTTAATGATTCAATAACGAAAAAAACCTAGAGAAAACCCAATAACTTAGCCCTCTAGTCCTCTAAGCTTGATAAGGCGTCGAAAAAAATTCCTTAAGCTTTACTGTTTGTTGATGCCTAGAAAGCGATACCATTTAATAAGGGGATGGATTATTTCCATTAAAATCTGGACCAATCCTGGGCGGCTGAGAGAGGACACCAATAAGTGATTGACCCTCAATTCCCGCGACCCAAAAGATATTGCAATGAGATGACAATACATTTGAAAAAACATTTTATTCTGAGTTGAGAAAAAATGCCTAGGAATACTCGAGCGAATGTACATGCTTCATTTCGGTAGCTTAACTAGCTGACCAGTAGGTTTGTTACAAGTTTATTGACTTGTCTCTTGCAAGACAACAGCAAACTAATCAGAAAGTCTGTAAAGGTAAGGTTATTTTTTTTTCCATTTTACGGTTTTTTAGGCTGATTTGCTAGAACAATCGATTCGCTTTATTACTACGCAAGAACGGATCTTTTTTTTCCTGCTGATCTGTTGCGTTTTGGTTACCGCTTGTGCTACTTGCGCTGAATCGATCCTTGTGATCCTTATAATAGGCGGAAAATTTATGCATGAAGCCATTTGTTCTCGAAATGCTGCCAGTAGACGGACGCAGAGTGCGAGTCACAGATATTCAAATAAAAGAGGCACTCAAATTTTTAATTTCCCTCGAAAAAGAGAGGGTCGGATGGACCAGGAAAAAAATTTTTTTGACCTGCCATCGCCAAACTAGACAAAACGCTTTTGTTTTCCGCTGAAATTTTAACCAGACATGTCTTTCGTAACATGAAAGCTAAATGGTTAAAAAAGAATCCTGATTGTTTGTTTTGGAAGGCTCAGAGTCAAGACGGGTTCGGCTGAAGATAGGCGAAATTTTGGCGATTCCCAAAAATTTAGCAAGGGGTTGCACTTATTCAAGACTACTCGAAGACAGATTTTTTCACTAAAGAAAAACAAGAAATGCTCTATTGCGGTCCTTACTTCTTCATATTAGTTTTCCAAAGAAAGATAGTAAGCCGTACTGAGTAAGCATCGTCTCAATAACCCGGCTACTCGGTACAGTATATATTCTAGTCGGACAGTTCCCGCAGCCAAGATCAGCTGCACAGTCGCCTGCTGCTAAATTTGTAAAAGTGTTGTGAAGGAATGGTCTTAGTTCTTCTTATCCAACTTCCCAAGCTGAGTCTTTTTTTCTGAGTCTAATTTAACTAAACATCTTTGGAAAAAAATACACTTACGCCACATTGACTCCTCGAGGTGTCGGTTTGATCATGAAGTTAAACATTTTCTTAGAAATCGCTGGTTACTCGTAGGCGAGAGAACATGAGCAGCCAGCCCTAGCGTTTCCATTGTTATCTTTCTATGCAGAAATATCAACGAAATGTTGATTATTTGGTGCTTATTTACGGCGCAACTACTTAGGATTGCAAATTTACAAGTGTCAAAAGCCGAAGGCGTTATTGACATCAGCGACGACGAAATCCGTAGATCAATACTGGAAGCCCGGGAGGAAATCTTAGATGATGGAAAGGAGGAATTTGAGAGCACAAGAGCAACCTGTGATAAACCTTATCATGCACAAATAAAGCCAGACCTAATCTATGGACAGCAGAAGGCAAGGATTTCGGAAATGATCACAAGAAAGCTTGCAGACAAAATTGGGTAAGACATGGGAACAGAAATGAAGGCTTTCACAGGACAATCATTAGGCATTTAAAACTGAGCGAATGATAAGGTTGTGAATACTAGGGCCGCGAATCAAACAGCAGCCATAGACAGGTACGCAGTTTTGCTCCATTTTCTGCGGTTTTGTTATGAATGAAATCTCAGTTTTATCGCGCCATTGCGGTGATCTCAAATCTTACCCTAAGAGTTATGTTTGTTTAACGATAAAATTAACCTATATCATATCTGGAAGCTTTATAAGAGCTTCCTTATCTTGGTGTTGGAAAATGTATGAAAATAATTTATTATCAAACGCCATTCAGTTAAAAAAATGATAAGCTAGTTGATTACCAGCCATTTTCTGGCGATCTTACTTTACAATTAGCTAGAGTAATTATTATCTTTTCTGTCTGTGGGAAAATAGTCCATTTAACTCTACAAACGAAGAGCAAATCGATATGGTAAAAGTTGATCCCGCGGAAGAATTTCCTGGAAATTACACTTTTTCTATTTTCGATTCTCATTAAGCTCGTTTTTGGGTTAATCTCATATCGAATTCCAGATCAAGAAAATAATTCTCAATTTTTAATTAAGCACGTTCATCACCTCTGTCTTTTAAGGTGACCATAAGTGTAAACAACTTATAATTTACTTCCTCCGCACTGAATTTACAACCAGGCAATTTGAACGAGCAGCACGTAGCTCTCACGTAGAGACATTACCTCGGGTACGCCCTTTCTTGTCCAAATTCTCTGTTTATCCTATTGCTGTGTAACAGTCTTCAAAGGCCATTTTCTCTTTAATCCATTTCTTTTTAAGTTCTACTTCCGTCAATAAGTTCGCTATAATTTAATATTGACAATCTTCAGTTCGGGCCATAACCATTTCTGGATATCGGTTTCGAGCTTTGTGATTGGGTGAGATCAAAACCAAAACAAAGCAAATTTGGCCAATAGGTGCTGGAAACAAGAAGAAGCTGATTTTTTTTTTTTGTGGCGGCCATGTTGTAATGCGGTAGTAAGCTGAAACAAAATTCGCTAATAAGGACTGGACGTAAGATACTATTAAAAATATTCGTTTATTTCAAACATTCAACATGCATGTCCTCGACATTCTCGCATTCTGGAAGAGCAAAGCGGATTCTTTCTAGCACAAATTCTTTGTAACGCTGTGGTCCTTCCACCAAGAGCGTCACAGGAATAAAAGCTCCTCCGCCAGCCTGTTTGTATCCGGAGAACTTCTGGGTAGAGCTTGGCCTTGATGTTACTGTCCGTTCTCCGTTGATTTCCCTTTTTGGGTTACAAGAAAACCAATTAAATAAGGTTGAACCAAATAACGCGCACTGATAACAATTGGGACGAGTGAGGTGTGAGATCGCGGAATCGGGACAATTTCATTTCTCTGCAGTATAGGTCGAGGAAAGACAATATCTTGCTTCTCTCCCATTTTTAAATAGACATTATCAATTTCAGTCCATCAACCCTTTACGAAAAAGTAATATTAAAGCAAGAAAACAGTAACTTACCTTTCAATCCTAGTTATTTTGCCACATCGGAGCAAAGCATGCAGCTGTATGTTTAGAAAGTGCTGAACCGTGCCGATCTGCTGCCCTTTGACATCTCCTAAAGTGTATGTCTTTCTCTGCGATTTGCTGAAAATCTGGACTTCTCTTAGAGCCTCTGGAATGCGTTCCATTTCTCGTGGAAGAAGACAAGCCAGTGCATGCGAGTCATACGTGTTGTCGTCTTCACTTTGAATAACAAGCGGTGTTCCACGTGGAGCTTTGATCTTGAAATTATGATACCTGGAAAATAAACGCCAATAAATACATGAGTGGGATAAAATAAAAGCAAGTAGTCACAATCTATATTAAGACGAATACACATGATCGAATTCAATGCAAGAGAATCATACAAGGTATTTTGCGCGCTATTGATCGATTCGCGGGACAATCCAGGTCTCAGAACACTACAAATTCGGTCCTACAGCTTTTAGTCAGCAATAATATGTCCTTTACAATTACCTTTTGATTTGAACACCCTGTATAGAAAGTTTGTTTAGGTAATCACTGCAAAATGTGAAAGCACGAGCGGTGTTTCTAAACGAGTTTCACAATTACAGACAAGTCCCTTGTGGTTTTAGACGAAAATTTCACTCTCATCAGTTCGTGTAGTTAAACTCCAACCTTTGTTTCCGGAATGCTGTAACAGAGACATTTCTTTATTTTCATCTTCATGCCGCTCTTATCGCACATTTCCCGGATACGATACCTAAAGATGTGAGAGCTCAGTGAACGAATACCTCTTTGTTT